GGTGGTTGTGGAAACCATTCTCAGTGCATTGCCTTGAATATGGACTTTAATGTTAGTTCATCCACTGGTAATTTTCAAATTGGGGAAATTGAAAAATAAGAAAAACGTAAGAAATTTTAGTTATATTAACCTCACTAGATATATGTGTATTCATTTTATTATATTTTAACTATAAATGACATTTTACCATATGCATCATGGTAAGAGTTCTTGCAAAAGTTCTACATATTCTATTATAAATCAAAGGACCGGTCTTTTGGGGGGTGCTGGGGGCCAAACCTAGGGCCTTGCCCATGCGAAGCACGCATTCAGCCAGAGCCCACAGCCCAGGGAGCCTGCCAAGCTCCGGACAAGATGAAGGCCCACTTGCAGACCTGTCCACAGCAAGCTCACTGCCGTGGCCCTCTTGGACTCAAATGCTTTGTGCAAAATGTTAAATCAGTGTCAAGTATAGAAAACACTGGCTTCCTAGACGACTTGGAATCAGACGTTTGCCGCTTTCGAGCTGGAAGGAAATTCGGAAGCCATCTAGTCCAAAGCTTCAGTTTATCTACGAGGCTCAGAGAGGGCTCACAACCTGCTCTGGCAGCAGATGATAACCTGAGCTTTCTAATTCTTAAAACTACTGCTCCTTACTAACTTCTATATAGTGAAAACAGAGAAAGGTTTTGCCCGGGGTTAACTGAAAACACCACAAACATGCTAAGCCTCCTAGCTACCAGAGCCTTTAATGTGCTGTGTTTGCGCTTACAACGCTGGATCAACAAAATACATTTATTTCCTAGTATGAAAATGAAGCTGTTTTTTTAAATAAGAGAACTGTGACTTAAAAATAAATTCAAGAAGTTTAAGATCCAATTATAGTCACAAGTAATTGTCTGTTTTTGTGGTACTGGGGCCTGAGTTCATGGCCTTCACACTGATCTCCAGGCCTATATATATATTTTTTAACCAAATAAAAAATACTTGTGAATATAACTGATCTTAAACTTCCTGAATGTGTTTGCAAGTCACTGTTCTCTGATGTAAATATCAAGCCGATCCAAACAATGCAGAACCAGGTGCCACGGTTTAGGGGTGTAACCCCAGAACTTGAGGGGGTGTGGCTGGCACAGAAGATCACAGCTTAGGCCAGGTGTGAGGGCACACACCTGCAATCCCAGCATTCGGGAGTCTGAGGCAGGGAGCTACCATGTGTCCGAGGCCAGCCTGGCCCACACTGTGACTTTGAGGCCAGCCTGAACTGAACAGTGAGACCCTGTCTAAAAAAAAAAAAAAAGAGACCACATTATTTGAGACTAGCTAGGACAATTTCGTGACTGAACAAGGTCCTGTCTCAAAATAAAAGTGAGCTGTCCAGGGGTGTAGCTCAGCACAAAAGCCTTGGGTGTCTTTTGTATCAGCTGCTATCTACAAGTTGATAAGCCTGGCTTACACTTTAAGTGCCGATTTCCCAGTTTAAGCCTAAAGTTCATCTACTGCAATCTAAATTGTATTTTCTTGCTATCTTCAAAGACTGACCACAATCTCCTAGCGTGTGATTCTTCACACGCTAGAAGATTGTGGCACAGCCTGTCTTTCCTTGTGGGCACAAATGATTTTAATGTTAGATTCATTTTTTTTCCAGGTAGCTGGTGTCTCAGGATTTTTGTCTTCCTTTATCCCTCTACATTTTTCATGTTTCAGGGCTGAGGGTGTCACTGAGCGGTAGGGCACATGCTTGGCACACATGAGGCCCTGGGTTCAAACTCCAGCCCTAAAAAATACATTTCCATATTTTAGTTGTGGAACATATCTGGACATAGTGCAGAAATGGTTACTATAAGAATAAAACTAGCAAAGTGTTCTAAATTTGATGTTCTTACAATGAATGAAAAGAAAAGATCCATCTAAACTGGGAATGGTGGCACATGCCTGTTATCCCAGCACTTGGGAGGCTGAGGCAGGAGGATCACTGTGAATTCGAGGCCAGCCTGAGCCATATAGTGAGACCCTGTCTCAAGCAAAACCAAACCAAACAAGAAAGAAATCTATCCAAATTCGTTTTCCGCTTTACTGTACTTATCTTTTATCCAGTTCCTTACGTTCTATACTGTTCTGATCACAGCCACCCTTTCCCAGAACCCTAGTCACATACTTTTTCTGTCCAGAAAAGCTGAGGAAACTAGTTTCTTTCTTCTTTGGTAAAGACTAGTGAAACTGTAATAAAAGTTTACTAGGGAGGCCGGGTATGGCGGTGCATGCCTGTAATTCCAGCACTTGGGAGGCTGAGGCAGGAGGATCACTGTGAGTTTGAGACCAGCCTGGGATGCACAGTGAGTTTCAGGTCAGTCTTAACTACACAGTGAGATCCTGTCTCAAAAAAAAAAAAAAATACTAGAGAAAAAAGGAATTTAAAAGAACACAGGAAGGCATTTAGGTTCAGAATACAAACGTGGCATCCTAACTTATCTAATGTTAGATTAGATCAGGGCTTTTCACCCAGGAGTGACTGTGCCCCCAGGGGAAGTCTGTGTCCAGGAGACAGTTTAAACTGCCAGAACTGGTGGTACGGGTGGTGGTGGTGCTGACATCTAGTGGCAGAGGTCAGGATGCCACTCAACGTCTAGTAATGTTCAGCAGGGTCACCCTCAGGAAAGAGAGGGAGGGACTCTGGCCTAAACCAGGAAATGTTCAACCAGTTTCCCTCCGCTTATGGCTCTACACTCCAGCTTATGCCAGCCCTCCCCAAACTCTTCCTTGTCCTTGCCTAACTCAAGGACACCTAACTTCCAGGTTAGGTCAAACGCTGCTTCTCTGAGCTGCCAGAGCAGCCTGCATGCTCATCTATTGTTTTCTATACTAATTAAATGACTATACAGGCATCTGTCACTTTCACCAGACTCTAGACTGCTTAAAGACAAAGCCTATGTCTTAATCTTCCTTGATAAATACATTTTTTTTTGTCTTTTAAGATATGGTCTTGTTGTAATAGTCCAGGTTGGCCTTGAACTCACTCTATAGCTCAGGCTGGCCTCAAACTTGATCCTCCTGCCTCAGCCTCCCAAATACTAGGATTACAGGTGCGTGCAACCATGCCTAGCTGGCAAGTATTTATTTGTCAAAAGAATTTTATTACATTAACCCAGCCTAGGAAGGATGCTAATCCCTAAAAAAGCTTTCCGTTAGACAATGGCCTTCATTCTCTCCCTGCCAATTGTACTGTTGGTCTTTTCAAACTCCTCTGCAATTTAATTTAGGTTGGACTTTTAGGATACCTACCATTACACCAAGATCATTTTTCTTGGTCATACACAGAGCCTCTGGATCATATAGAGTGTCAATAATTAAATTTACTTTTTATTTATTATTTTTTTTAGACAGAATCTCACTTTGTAGTCCAGGCTGGCCTCAAACTTGCAGCAATCCTCCTGCCTCAGCCTCCCAAGTGCTGGGATTACAGGCATATCACCTAGCTTCAATGACTAAGTTTATTTTTGTCCCTGCACAAAGCTTAACTTCATCACTTGAGCTAAGTCAGTGTGCAACTGCAGTATCAGCTGACTTGTGTTCATTTTTATTTTGAACTTGTCTAAAGATGCCTCTTTTCCTGTTGTAAAACCAATTTTTTTTATTCTGCTACCCCAAATCTGCTTCTGAATAATGTCTCTAGATTCTAATGTCTTTCCAAGGTGAAATGCCTGATCTTTTGGGGTTAATGGTCAAGTTTTTCAGGAGGTTTGCCTAGTAACTAATTTACTCAACTGCTCCAAGCTGTGTAAGTTTAAAAATATTAACCGTGTACCAGCCACAATCAAATCAAACCAAACCCCAAACTAAAAACAACACAAAGCTTCAAACATGAAATCCAGGTTGCTAGAACCTTGGATCGAGAGGTATTTTAGTGAATAATTTTAAGCAATGAAAACTAACTCTAAATTAGTTTAGCAACTGCCAAGCACTAAACAAAAAAATGGCAGTAGCAAATATACAATAGTCTGAACTGCTAATTTTTCCGAGATACCAGGGTATGCTGCCAAATTATAGATAATCAGAGTCAGGTATCCATAAATGCAAAGAAGTAGCGCTGCAATAGCTGTCGCCAGTGGATTAAAGACAGTGCAAAGAAAACTTAGTTTACCAGTTCATTTTACCTTATCTAATTATTACTATTTATGCTACTAGGGCTTTTGTACTGAGCTATGGCCCCAGTCCTTTTAACTTTTTTTCATTTTGTGACATGGTCCTGCTGTGTAGCCTAAGCCAGCCTCCAATCTGCTATGTAGCCAAGGCTGGCCTCAAACATGAGATCCTCCTGCCTCGGCCTCCCAAATACTGAGATTACAGGCATGTGCTTTAAAAGTACATTCTTTTAGACAAAACCAGTAACATTTTTTCCTTGTTTCTCAAAAATTTACTCTTGGCAATTGAAAGTCTCAACTACTGACAAGTCAGAAACACCATACGAAAATTTCATATATACATATATATTTAATATATGGCCTATTTATGAACAATAAAAAATGCACAGAATGATAGCTGTTTTTGTATTTTATTATTTGTCGCATTTTTAAAGTGAAACTGATTTTTTTCCTCTGGTCCTGGGTATCAAACATAAAACCTTGCACTTGCCAGGCAGGCGTGGTGCCACTAAACTAAATCTCTGGCCCAAAACTGATTTTTTTAAAGTTCAAACTTTCCAGAGAATTTGAGAATTTTTGCAAGCAAACATCATAACCAAATCGCAACAAGTTTTCAAACACACGAACAAACTTCTCCTCATATACTTGATAAACCAAATTTCACTTTCTAATGTCTTCGTGGGGAGTGACTATTAGTAAAATATTATGGGCATTCTACCCAGAAAGTAGGCCGCCTGTGCACACTTGGTTCTTTCTCCAAGCAGAGACGTCCTCCTTGTAAAAGAACCGGCCGTTCTTCACACACGTGCACATGATGGGCCACGGCATCCATTACGTCGTCCCAGCGTGAAGAAGTCTCCTACTGAACGGTTCCAGGTCTCCAAGATCACACATGTCACTGGGGTCCCCGTGATGTTGCCATATGTGTACACACCATGAAACGTTTACGTCAGGTGACACGAGTCCATCTCCTCAAATGTCGCCACAGTGAGAGCGTTCGGAACCCTTTCTTCTCTTTCCAGAGGACGGCATGTGAACTTTATCTGCAGTCACCTTGTGCGCACTGGCACCCAGGAACCTGAACTTCTATCTCCCCAGACCTTGGTACTTCTGCTCAACCTCGTCCCATCCCTGCCCCTCCCTTTACTCAACTCCCCTTGTTTGCTGTCATGTGACCCACTCCACACACACACACATCCTCAGGAACTGGTCTTTGGCGTGGTAAATCATTCATTTTTATTTGTACCAAAGCTAGTTGTAATTACTGGCGCACACCTGTAATCCCAGCACCTGAGGGGCTGAGGCAGGAGGATCGCTGTGAGTCTGAGGCCAGCCTGGGCTACATAATGAGTTCAGCACTAGCCTGAACTACAAAGGGTGAGCCTGCCTCAAACAAAAACAAAAACAAAACCAACAAGAAACAAAAAAAGCAAACAAACAGCAGGCATGCCACCACTGCCTCGCAGTAAAGATTAACTTTCTACATGGGAAGGAAGCCTTGGCAGACACTAAAACCATATACAGTACAAACCACAGAACCAAATTAGCTTTTCAGTAAATGCTGTCCTACATGGCTTCAAGGTTATTTTTCTGACAAATACAGCACCTAGACTATAGCTATGCCGAGAGTTTGTTTGAGATGGTGGTCGTGTGCTGAGGCGGGGAGCAACATCCCCACATCTGAGCCGAGCAACATGATTCCTTTAGGAAGGACACAGGCAACTAGAGGGTGAAGCTCTCCAAATTCTGGGCCCATAGTATCCCAGCTGCGATACATACTTAGATACAAAATGCTTTGTTGCCTGCTGGGGCATACATATTAATGATAAAAATCCCTTGGATATTCATTTTGGATAACTCTTAGAACCATAATCATTTCTCTGAGTTTTACTCGGTACTAACAGTTGTGTTTTTCCTGCTTCTCCCTTCCTTCATCCGTGCTAAATTTGCAGTGACAGGTGCCTCGCTCCGCATACTGTTTACAAGCTAAGAAGGGAGAGAACTAACGTATGTTGAGAGTTTAAGTGCAAATACCGTGGTGTATGTTTTACGGACATTACATCACTTAATTTGTGCAACAGTCCTTAAATGGTGATGATTATGATTCCCATTTTATAGACTAGAAAACTAAGGCTTGGAGAATGTAGGAAAAAGGTCACACAGCCAAGACTTAACTTGTGTTTGTCTGGCTTGCAAGCCTGTGTTCCTTCTGCTACACTGAAAAGGGATTAAAGTCAGTGAAGTAATCCAAGGATGTCCAGATGAGATGCACAATCTACTCTTTATTGTGAGTTTGAGTAAAGTATTATAAGCAGTAATTATAGGTGGCTAAAAGCCAAGACCAACATAAGACTACCTGCCGATTCTTTATGACTTAAAGTAGGTTAAAACTGTTCTTCCTCCACCTGCCCTTAAGGGGGTCAGAGTTGACTCCACAGAATCCAGTCGACTCTGCAATGCCCAGATCATTACAGAGCATTGCCCAAACCTTCTATCCTGAAATTTTCTACCAGAAAACACAGCACAATTCCAAAAGCGAGGGCAAAAACAACTGAGAGGCAAATTAGACTTCCTCATCGGGAGGAGCCTCTCCTTGAAGATCAGTTTTGTAATGGGTTCGACACTGCAGTGAAGAGTAAGAAGGGTTAAACTAATGTCTAATTTAGAGGCATACTTCACTCCGTTATCAGAGTGCAAATCAGATTTAGTAACCAGTTCAGACTCCCAAGACTCAGATATGCGCAGGACTAGACAACTTTCCTAATGACACCAACCGCAGGATATAGATTTAACTTCGCAAGGAGAAAATGTTCCTGTTTCAGAAGCGCTTCAATCTTTCAATTTCTAAAATATTTTCCCATTTGCTAAATTTTATGCTTGAAACGGATCTCAGAATACATCTGATTTTAGTCCCCAGCCACATAAGTATTATTACTTCCCATTTCACAGAAGAAATAACAGAATTGTCTTTAATAAAAGACTTGGACGGTGGGATCTTCCACCACTTTCTTATGGATTTTTTTTTCAACCACAAGAACACTGTTTTACAGCAGGACAAGAGAAAGCTAACGTTTATTGAGCATTTACAGAGAATGGAGCACATATGCTATTTTAAATCCTCACATCGACCCACATTTTACAGCAAGCAAGACACAGATCTAGGATTCTACCCAAGGTCACACGTACAGTTAAGCATGGGGTAGAGCAGAATTATATTCAAATCTGCCCATGTATAAAAAGGTCCAGCACAGCTTGTTTAGTAATTTTATACAGACAGAATTAAAGAAACAAGCTGGAGCAATAGGATGGAAAGACACGGACTCCGTAACCCGGGTCCCGCGTCCAGTTTGGGGCCAGGCAAGCTGTGCAGGCCTCCGCCTGCAGGAGCCAAACGAAGTATGACCTTTCCTCCAAACCCTGAGTTGCGACAAGCCACCTACCCAGTTCCTTCCCTCGTGGGTGATGATTAGTGCAGGGAAAGAGGGGACAACGAGGGCTCCGCGGCCGAGGACGGGGGTGGGGGTGGGGACGTCAAATGCCCAGGCCATGTCCAGAGTTCGAGTAGCGCTCCAGGAAGCGAAGCAACGAAAGTCCTGAGACCCGCGAGTTTGGAGACGCAGGCAGGGGTAAGGTGAAATGCAGAGTAAGAGCCAGGGCCAGGAGAAGAACCGATTCACAGGGGAAGGGGAGGATGCCCGCGAGCCCGCCAGAGGCCAGGACCGTGTCAGCGTATAGGGATAGCGACGGGAGGCTGGTGGGACCCACTCCGGGTCGTCACCTACCTGCCGGGTGGTTGTACAGAGGCCTCAGTTTCTCTGGCAGCATCAGCTCCACTCTATCGAGGAGCCGGTGATGCAAGGCCCGCAGGCCCCGGGCGCCGGCGGCTGACATCTCGGCCGCCTGCTGGTGGTGGGCAGCGGGGTGACGGCTTCGCGGTGTCCACGTTCCCCGCTGGCAGCTAAGGGCAGCTCTTTGTCACTGTGCCCGGCACCGTGCCTCGTGCCT